ATACCAGACCAACCCACTAAAATGCAAATAGGGATTAGAAATGTGGTTAATATCACGAAGAATAAAGAGATACCATTTATACCAAAAAAAAAAAAATTGGATGTTTTCATAAGGAAGCCATCGAAGGTTTTCCACAAATTGACATTTGGTCGTAGAAGGATCGAATTGTGTCCGAGTAATAGGAGAATACAAAAAGGTATAATGGCCGTTAATTTGTTATGTCCTTCTTAAGTTCATTATTAACTTCTCGTTGATATCAAATGATATCGAAATGATTTATTTAAATTAAAAATTTTGTAAGTAGATTTATTTTTATTTTTTGTTTGGGATGGATTTATACTGTTGTTATATTTTAGGGTGAATTTGAATATTTTATTTATTTTAAAAAATAAAATTATAATTTAATAAAATATCAATTTATCATGTAACCCTAACATACTATAGGATGGCCATAACTGCACCCGTAAAAAAAAGAAAAGAAAAGAAAAAGAGGAGAAACCAAATCTCAGAATAAGAACAAATGTTTGATAACACAAGCTGAAATTATTGAAAGCTTATGATCTGATTTGTCTTTTCAGAGAAAAGAAACAGTCCAAAAAATAACTGGAATTTTCTCATCCCATTTTTGCCTTCGTAAAGACAACAAAAGATTTGCCTTTTTCATATTAAAATGTAAAACGGGACAAAAACTTTTCATTAATCCCTAACGGCTATAAACACGAGCTTTCTGCTTTCCCTCTCTTCTCCTCCAAAATTCAATATGCAAAGCCAAGTATGGATGGATTAATCAGTAACTAACTGAGAAAATGAGTATAGAAGGATTTTAGTTTTGGAATTTGATTGTTCTTTGAATATTCAAAGCTATTTATTAATTATTAATAATTTAAATAAATTAATAATAATATTGTTTTAATAAAAAATAAAAATTTTTAAATTTAAATTATATGACATATAATTGAATTAGATTAAAAATAAAAAAAATTACTTTCTATTTTATAATCTAAAATTTTAAAAAAAAACTATCAATTAATTACTAATTCCTAAGAGAATGATCAATTCATAATTTTTCTTATAACAGAATCTTAAAATTTTTCATGACAATTATATGCATAGTTATTGTAATCCTTTTTTATTATAAGATAATTTTGTAAGCAAATTTAGATGAGAGATTTTGAAATGAAAAGCTATCTAGCAAAGTTTTTTTTTTTTTTTTTAACTTAAAGTTTGTTAAAGATGATATTCTCAATTCCAATGAAAAATTAAACAAAAATTTAAATATGGAAGCAAAAGGACCGCTTTTTCTCTCTCACTTTTTCTGTTTAGTAAAAGCATGGATCTTCTTGCAGATTCTTCAAAAGATTGGATCGCTTACAGGATTTTTCCCCCAAACCAAATTTTTTTTCCCCCTCCTTTTGGGGTGTTTTGCTAAGAGCACATCCAAAAAATGAAGAGACTTGTCCTCTCAGGTACATGCATATGTTGGCATCAATGCTTGAAATTTCTGATATCAGCCATCAGGTAAAAAAAGTGGTAAAGAGAAGGACAATAATTCTGTAGGGCAGATAGAATCATTATTGCAGGTAAATTAAATCTCTTTTCCCCAGTATACTACGGAACAGAGTGTGATGAGTGGATAGAAATTGACAGAAATCACATGTCAAATTCATAGCATTGCTTGTCCAAGTATCCAAAATTCTTGTATGGGATTTTCAGTCCTAATGATTTAATGATTTATGTTCAAATTTTAATTAATTTTTTATTATCAAATTTTAATAATTAAATTTAATTAATCAAAAATTCAATTTTCCCTTCTAACGATTTAAAAATCTTCTTATTTCCCATAATTTCTTTTTTTTTTTTTTAAATAAAGTATCCAAAACTCCTAGTCTTCATAAATTGCAAATTTAGAAAAACTTCTAAAATCCTAAACTTGTCCTTTGAGTTCACATATTCACAAGAGAGTCTGATTTTTTCGGTCTAGATTGTAAAACAATTTTTCATTTAAAAAAGAGAGAAATTTCATAATTAAGACAAAGTTAAATGCTTTCTCTTTAAAGAAAGATGAAACATTCAAGGGACACAAGTGGATTTTCAAGGGATTCATTTGGAGTGCTATTTGGGGCAGAATTATGGGCATTTGGCCATTTTCCCTCCAAATTAATATTCTCCTCCACTCTTTTGCTATTGCCAATCTCTCCTGGTTCAGTCCTGACTCGACCGGGAGACCGGTTCACCCGCTTAGCGGACGGGCTTCGACCCATTGTGGATCTATTCACCGCCGGCGACCTTGACCTTCTCCCGGAGCTCTCACCTGGGTCCCTCCTCGTTGGGGTTGGTCTTGACCCGCGTCTCACCGCGGCTTGACCTGGTTCCCTGCTTTGGACCCTTCTCACCGTACCGCTGGTAATGGCGCCGTTTCTTTTCCCTGGTGATTGGTCGATTCTCTTGGTTGGGGATCGACCCACGACCCTGTCTCGCCTGGGCACCGAATCCCGGGTTCTGGGCTCCATTCTCGCCGGAGATCTGAACACCCTCTGCCTCACTTCCAGTTCGTCGTCTCTCCTGTCCGTGACTGTCGTCGTCGATACGCTCTCGCTCAAGCTACAAATCTCCGACACATCCTCGGACACCGAATCGTCAATGACGGTGCTCCTGTTGGTACTCGTCGGAGACTTCAGGGGCGTCTTGTTGAAGCTGGTGATTTCTTCTTCTGGGATTTTCTCAACAGCCGGTTTCTGTTCCTGAGGCTTCTGGTTCTCCAGTTCTACTCGGGACACGGACAGCGGTGTTGTTTTGTGCTTCGAGATCTCGGAAAGTACCTCTTTCACTGTTTCTTCTTCAAACGAAGGCGGCGGTGCTCTGTTCTCAAGAGTAGGTTTCTGGTGAAAAGACTCTTGTCCCGCCGGAAAATGCCAACCTTTTCCATCAGAAGAAGCTCTGCCGGTACTTACGCAACAACCCATTTGAGCTCAAAGAGGCCAAATTCAGATTCAGAATGTCATGGATGGATTAAGCTGAAACTAAAGAACTGAAACAGAGGATGCTCTGTTTTATGCCAAAAGCAGAGTGAAAATGGAGAAAGACAGGAGAAGACAAGGACATAGGTAGTTAGAAAAGAGTGAATGACGATCTGTAGTCCAAGAAACGAATTTATTGCACAAGATTTCCAAAAGTTGGAAAATTAAATAAAGTTTGATTTTGTTAAGAGAAAAAGTGAAAATGATGGTGTCCACTCACTTTCAATGAAAAAATTTTTATGCGTTGATTTATTGAGTGCATTTTAATTATAAATTTTTTATTTTATGTTTTAAGGGTATAAAATAAAAGTATATTTATTATTTTTTTATTATTAATGTATATAATAAAATTAAAAATTAATTTTAAATGTATCATATGTATTAAAATTAATGTTAATTTTTTTATGTAAATTAATAAATAAAAAATATATTTACAATTCCCTTAACATCTAAGTTATGTCTTAATAAAACATGTTAAACAAACCTTTTAAATATTTATTATCAATTATGGTATTTTAATTATCAAGGTTACTATTTTTTAAAATTCTTTTCGTTAATCAGTCCTAAATATTTTTCTCTTTCTCCTTTGAGTCCATGAGTCACTCCTTTCTTTTGTATGTTTGTAATGAGTTTTTCTATAATATAATTTCAGTACATGTTAAAAGTATAATTATTAAATTTTTTATATGAATTAGTATTAAAAAAATATAAAAATTGATATTAATTTTATCATTAATAATACATGAATTATTTTAATTAATTTTTATTTTTAATATTAATTAATAAAAAAATAAAATAATTACACTCTTGGGGTGTGTTTGGGTTTGAGGTTGAGAATTTTTTCTCATAATTGTATAATACTTTTAGATATATGCATGTTTGATAATTTTTTTAAAATTTTTTACAAAAACTATAAAAAAACCACAATAATTTTATAATAATTTTATGTACAAAAGTCAAAAATCTAATTTTGAAGTTCTTTTACTATTACTTTTATAAAAAAGCATATAATATTTAATACAATTATAAAATTACTCATTAAAACTCAATCTTTTTTAATTTAATTATATTATAATTTATAATATTTTATTTAAATTTATCCTTTCATTTATTTAAAAATTTTATTTTTTTAAAAAAAAGAAGAAGTAAAAACTCAATCCCTCCTTATGAATTACTTTTCTGAAAACCCAAAAGCACACCCATCATAATTTTGTGTTGCTTTCCTGAAAAAACCAAAAAGATATCCATTATAAGAAATCTAAAATACTTAAATTATTAAGAAGTAATAAATATTATTTATTTTAATAATTATATATCATATAATATTTTTTAATTTTAATTAATAATTATAAAATTTATGA